GGAAAAGATCCCGAGTTCAAAAATATATATAATTATTTAGCCGACCCTGAAAATTTCAGCCATCAAGATATTGTGCCGATAAGAAATAGGGCGGCAAATTATGAAATAATTGATGGACTTCTTTTCTATACAAAAACTACTAACGAAAATCACGAGTTTAGGCCGGTTATTCCAGCAAGCCTAAGATTTAGTATCCTGGAAGAATTGCACGATTCGCCTATTTCCGGCCATTTGGGCCAGCGAAAGACTGTCCAAAGAGTTCGCGAGGCAGTTTTTTTCCCCCGAATTGCAAAATTTTACTAGGGCGTATGTCAAGAGTCATGCCCAACATGCCAATTTAATAATTACATTAATTACCGCCCGGCCGGTTCCTAATAGTGTTAAATCAGAATTCCCTACTTGGTACCCCAGAAGGCCATGGGCCAGGCGAACGATACAGACTAAATTTTAAATTAAAAAAAACACTTAAAGCATAGAAAAATGTTTTAATCATTGCATTTTTTTCTTCTATTAGCTAAAATTGTAAGCTTAAATAAAAAGTAAATAATATCAGTGTAATACTTTTTACATTTTTTCAAAAATATATTTTGTCAAAAAAAAAAACTCAGAAATTCCCTCCAAGTTAAGTCTGCGTACACTTTCAAAAAAAAAAAAAGCAAAATATAAGTTTTTTACATTACTTCAATACTTTGTAGGATATCCTTTATTCTTCAAAACAGCTTGCAGACGTCTGGGCATTGACTGAACTAGTTTTTCAGTGTCATCCGACGTAAATTTCGCCCATTCTTCCTGCAATTTACTAATTAGCTTATTTCGCGCGACGTAATATTGTGTTTTCGAATTCATTTCTCCAATTTTGCCCACAAATGTTCGATTGGATTGAGGTCTGGTGACTGTGGAGGAGTACGCAACTGTTTTGGAGTGTGATAGAGGAGATATTCCTTCACAATTTTAGCTGTATGTTTCGGGTCGTTGTCTTGTTGGAAAATAAAGGTATTAGAAAGGCTTTAATTTCGGGCACTGTCTCGTAGATTTTTCTTCAGAATGTCCAGATAAACATACTTATCCATGACTTTATCAATAATGTGAAAATTTCCAACTCCTTTCGACGACATACACCCCATACCATCACACCGCCAACTCCATGTTTGACAGTTGGATTTAAATTTCTCAGATTCAGTTCTGTTCCTGGTTTTCTCCATACAATAGGGTGGCCATTAACTTTAAATATTGTAAATTTACTTTCATCTGACCAAATTACATTGTTCCAGAAGTCCTGCGAAGAGTTTAAATATGTTTTGGCAAAAGCAATTCTTTTCTTTCTATTTGTCTCGGAAATGTATGGCTTAGACCTAGGTTTGCGTCCATGATAATCGGACTTTCGCAGCACTTTTCGTACAGTTTCAGGAGAAATTTCCTTGTTGCTAGTTAAAAAAATGTCTTTTGCAATGCTTGCAGCAGAAAGTTTAGGATTTTGTTTAATTCGTAAAAGAATTTTTCTTTCTTCTCTCTGCGTTAGCTTCTTCGGTCTCCCACATCTTGGTTTTACAGCAAGACTACCAGTGTCAAGATAGTTTTGAATAACTCTTTGCACACTAGAAAATGGTTTTTCCAATGGTTTTACCAATATAACGAAGAGTTTTACCTTCATCTCTCAATTTGATAATTAGTTGTCTCGTAACTAAAGGAATTTCTTTATTGGTTGTCATTTTCGTCAAAGAAAATAGAAATAGCAACTTCCAATCAACGTGAAATTTGCTTCGGAAGTCAATGACCTTGAAAGTGTAACCTTCTTTGCATTCTCAAGTTTGAAGTTTAAAAGTTAGATAAGAAATCCCCCGCCTCCTTCGCGTTGTACGCAAACTTTATTGGCTTTGATTTCTGGCCACTTATCTTTTAAAAATTAGTGTGCATAAATTATTAGATATGAAAATATTACAGTTAAATAATTTCAAAGTCCCTTATTGAAACTAAATATTTAAAAAATAAAACTTTAAGAAACTACCCTTTTCGCACCTTAAAATTTGGATTTGATATTACTTTTCTTGATGTAAGGTCCCCGAAAAAAAAGTAAAAAAATTAAAACAAGCTAATCAAATTATCAGACTGGTACCAAAAGAGTTTGATATGCCCTTAGAACGGCTAAAACACGACACAACGTTGAAAACACCTGCTGAACTATTTTTTGGAAGAAAGATTTTGACATCCTTAGATAAACTCTTCTTTGTACAGGAAAGGGCACAAGAGTTTAAAATGACCGATATTCAAAAGTTGATAAATGAAGCAAAAGGGAATTCTGAAATAGCCCAAAAGAAAGCAGAAATACTATTATGATCAAAAGAGAAGAGTCGTGAATTATAAAGTCCGAGATGAAGTCTTGAAGATTAAACATGCCTTATCAAATGCCCCAGAGGAAAAAGTGGGGAAATTTTTTCCGCGTTTTGAAGGTCCTTTCCTTATCGAGAAAATTCACCCAAGCAGTGGTAGTGTTAAGAGCCAATAACGGCGAGAAAATTACTGCCAATGTGGACCAACTGAAGCCATATTATAATCGTAATAGAATGAAAATCTTTGAGGAATTTTTGCAGGAGTCGAGAGGAGACCGACTTCCACGGAGGACTTACCTCAAGCGGCAACAACCAGAACCGGCAACAATTGCAACGAGGGGTCAGAAACAAAAAGCCCCTTATCAACAAATAGAAGAAATAAGAGGACGAAAGTCGCCGTGGACCAAGGAATAAAGAGGAAGAGCGAAGGGGGACTTTGAGCAGAAACTTAAAAGACAAAAATAAAAAGAAGAATGGACAAGGCCAAGCCAAGGCAGTAGTAAAGAGGGGAGCGGAAATGTCTGAAAAGAAAGGACCCTGAAAACCAAGCAGCCCCGGTTGCAGCCTTGATAATCCAGTTCCTGAATACAGCAGGAGGCCGGAGCAACGACGAACAAGGTTCCAGGAGCAAAGGAGAAATCCACCGAGGGGTCCATCGACTAAACGCCCAGCAGAGCAGCCGAGAGGCGGGAGTAAATGTCCCAGACTGGAGCCTAGCTGCCTTAAACGAAAGCGTGCGATGGAGACCAATGGTAGCTGCTCCAGGTCAAGAAGGAAGTTAAATCAAACGGAGCTCTTCGCAACCTTCAACAACTGGGTAAAGAAGCGAATGAATGACTACAACAACAGATAAGTAGCATTTCTCATTCTAACGTTTAATTAATTTCCAGATATTACTGCAAGTTGCAGATTTTTTTTTTTTTTTTTTTTTTTACCTCAAGCGAGGTTGACTTTTACGCCAAGTGGGCGATAAACGATTACTTATCTTGAAAGTTGTTTTGGTTTAAATTTATATATATATTTTTTTTGCAAAGATTTAAAATTACTTAATATTTCTAAGATAGACTGTGAAGTATTGCGAAGATATTAGTTTTGTAAAAGCAATGAATTGCTGTGAATATGTTAGCTAAATGTTTTTATAATGCTTTGTCGAAAGACTTGTAATTTTTTTTTTAAAATTAAAAGTCTGTAGAAGTAAAACACAACTTAGTCTAGACTATTCTCCCAGTAGAATGCGATGTTAAGAAAAATAATAATATTTTTTTTTCTTGAATGATTATTTGTGTGAAGTTACACGGGAGGAAAACAAGTCTTCGTTACGTAGCACTTATTGTTATTATGTTTAACTAAAGTATTTTCCTTCCAGATGTTGCTGGAAAGGAGTGTGCGAAAGACATAAACGCAAAACAGATGAAGTTGTATATAAAGTCAAGTTCATTCGTCCGTAAATTGTAGAAAATTCTATTTTTCTGTAAAAGATTGGCCTATGTTAGAAGAAGTTTTTTTTTTTTTTTAGAATTGCAAAGTTTCAATCAGGTCCGTTTGGACCAGTGTAGTTCAACTTTTGCCAATTCTGGAGGGAAGTATGTAAAGTTTTAAGTTAAACTAACCAAATTTCTTTTTATTTTAAGTTACCCTTTCCTGTAAACTCTTATTTCAACTTCCCTTCGGAATGAGCGCACGGTTCAGCTTTATGCTAATTTGTGTTTGAGCCAAGTTTTGTATTTCAGGTTAGTGAGAAACTTCTCAAGTGTGAGAGAGCTTTTAGTCTCAGACCACGTCGGCTCGATGGATGTTCTCCAGAATAGCTAGTATTTAAATTCTTACGCCTTAGTGCTATTCCTCAAATACTGATGGAAGTGCTTTAAGTGCGTTTAGTACTTAGCAAAGGCTTGCTACGCACCATAAATAGGGCCAATCTCGCGTTTTAAGCTCTGTGACAGCAACTATTTAAATGTCTACTGAAGTTTTACTTTTAAATTGCTTGATTGTTCAAGACCCAAGCGCGATTATTATTTCTTCTGTTATCACTCCCGAGTGGGGAGTTGCTGTAAATAGTGATTTCAATAAAAGGGTCTTTTACACCCGTCTTACGTTGTAATTCTTCTAGCACTCTTAAGAACATAGCTGCATTCAGCTCACTGTTCGAGTCAGGACATTGATACTAGCACCATTATGTTTGCCCAAAGCATGCACAGAACATTAAGTCCGGATAAGCATACAAAAAGATTAATTCAGTTAGATAACTGCCGATTTGAAATAATAACCCAAGATTTGTACTGTCAAGATAAAAAATTTCTTCTTCAACTAATTTCTTTCTGTCTTTTATTATTAAATGGGTATTATTTTTTGAAAACAATAAACTAAAGCTCACGTAGCTAGTACGGCTAAAAAGTCAAGTTTATGAAGAAAATTTTAACATAATTTTTAACAGTTGTTACGAACCTAGATTTATACTTTGACGTAAATTATATATAATTCATGTAATCTTATTCAAAAATTATATGTAGTTGCAAACCAGTCAGCTTTATGAGACCTAACTAGCAAGATTACCGTATGTGACATGAAATGTTGAAGCAACTCATCAGTACTTGTTATCCTATAAATCGCATTTCTATCATTCAAGTATAACTGCTGTAAAAATAGTGACTGGAAGAATGAATTCTAACTTACTGAAAAGACTGGAAAATGTGATAGTCCTGTACTCTTCGTAGACGTACTGCTGTGAGTCGTACATGATCTCCAGTCTGCTGCAATATGAAAGAAATCTTATATATTTCGTTCTTACAAACCGTAATAAAGCAGAAAATTTATTTCGCTGCGTGAATTTCCGCAACTGTATTCGTGAGGTTATGGAAAATTTAATATTTAAAAAAAATACTTAAAAAGTTTCTCGAATATCAGGGGTTTTTTTTAATCCCTTAAACGTCAACTAAATCTGCTGATTTCAGATTTTTTTCTATTGTTTTTAGATTTATATGACAAATGTTAGATTACGTTTACATTTTACGTACATTTTATAATACTTTTTACATTAATTTTTTTTTAAAAAAATACACTGTGAAGTAATCTTATACCAAAATCCAAAATAAAATTTTGCATCACCCTAAGGTTTGTAAGATTACTGAAAAATGGGAAGAATTCGTTTCTCTACGATGAATAAAGCCACCCTCTGATGCCCATCAATACGAGAAACAATTTCAATGCAGAAGGATCCTTTTTTAAAAATGTTCTATGCAATGAAGAAAATTTGTATATCTACATGTATATAGCATATAAAAATATGGTCTCATTAAATGGCAACCTTTATCTAAAATAACGATGTTGAATACTTCAATTTCCTTTGGTTTACGTTTCGGCGCACATAATGGTCAAGGTTTTGTGCCAGGAGACGTACTATCACCATCACCATCACGACTGGCCGTAGTTCATCTCTGTCAAAGGCTATCTTAATGTACACTACTCGCAAAAAAGAAGGGAGGGACAGTTCTATATCTCCCGTTCTACTGGGCCGATTGACGAAATTCAACTTGCATTTTTCCTAGTCTCCAAAGCGCGACATAGGATATGTATTAAATTTATATATAGCAGCATTATTCTAATATAGGTATTTTGACACAAAATCGAACTTTTTCTGAAATAACATACCAAATGTTTTACATATTTCGATTCTACAACTCAAATTACGCCTAAATATGAAATTTTGTAAAATTTGGTACGAAATTTACGGAGAAATTCAACAATTTATGTTGTCGCTTTTTATTCAGTTTGCGCCAAAATTAGTTCACTTGGCGAACTTCTTAATATGTGGCAACCTATCTTCATTTCATTTTTACATAGTGCGCCAATTTTTTTTCCGGGCACAAAGATGGGCCATTTCAAAACGACCAGTGTATTTCAAAACCTCCGAGATTCCATGCCTTACGCCACGTTACGAAATGTCGTGGACTCTCATCATCTGGCTTATTTTTAAGATCGTTAAATATCAATTTGAGATCACGTTGTATTCATATTTTCCATCCTAACAACTCTGTAGGTGGCTTTCGATTGTGCTCCTGTGACAGTCCTAAACCCCTTCCTATCTCGTTAGGACTGCATTTCCAACCCTGCATTGCTATGTGATTTCGAGCCGTTTAGATGCATCCTACCGCTTTTAGAACTTTCTCCCTCTAGTTTTGAATCACCCTGTATATGTTTGTGTATAAAAAATTATAAATGTTTTTATTTCTTATAGCTTGATATCGTTTCGATTCTAATAAATTGAGAGCCTTGGAGAGAAATTATTGGAAAATATCTTCTTCGCGTTATATAAATGCTTTTCGATTAACTGGGTTCTTTGAGTATTAGTTTTCACCTGTGAAAGAAAGCTGTTAACATAAAAATATAGTTCCAAATAAAGCGATTATTTTTAGAGCAAAAATTTATAATTTATCTAACTTATTTTTTGACGAATATGAATAAAAGTGAATCAGATTCGTATCTTCAAATCTTTGAATAAGATTTATATCGCATTGTAAATTAATTAGCTCCATTTACAGATTTTTTACATTATTCATATTCATTTTTAATGGAAATGAAAATAATATAAACTCTGACTTCAAATGACTAAAATCGTGAGATCTTTGCAACACTGTACTTGAAAGAAACAGATAATTGAAATGTCTTGGGGTCGCATGCGGCCCACATGCCGTCAGTTTGAGACCCCTCTACCTATGCATCCTCATTGACAGCAGATTATTGAGCGTTATAATTCGGAAAAGTGTAAGATCTGTAATTTATATTTCAAATTTGTAACAAATGTCGTGCGTCATTCGTTCAAACAGGACATCTGCTTTAGGTCATGTGATGCGTAATTCATCCAAATATAAACCTGTAGAGACATTAGGTAATTTGGAAGGAGGCAAGATGGAAAATTAGCAATCGCCTTCTCCGGGAATCGAACCACGGACCCCTAGAATACCGGCCCAGAGTACACTCGAAACCGGCCCCACTACACCTCGAAGGCACGCTAGGAAAGCGGGAGAAATGCCTTATAAACCTTCATAGGAGAAAAGATGGATGTACTGTCAAGGTCCCCGACCTTCTTTACAGAAGTTCCCAAAATTGATGATGGCCTCAAAATATTTAAGATCACAACTCTCTTTTCTCTTGGATCATGAATAGTTCAGATGGCATCTAATTCTAGCTTTCACTAATAATCTTGGAGTTTTGCCCGTAGGCGATAGTAACGTATTAAATAACGAGCGCTACTCTCTCTGCCAATGAAGCGAGGAATACTGTGCTTGTGCCTTTCCCTGGTGACACGAAACGGAACTTTCCTTCGATTTCATCAATGAACAAGCTGTTCGAGAGGCGAAGAATTTGAATGATACGGGTAACTGAGATGTAGTTTTCAAGAAGTTATTGAGGATCAGTTTAATGCACGTGGAATGCGTGTTGCAATTATACAGATAGCTGAAAATACATACAAGTGTGAAGATATAGGATGATGATGAATTATCTGCACTAAAAGATGACAAAGTATGTAAGTCCTGCTATGTCAGGCACTGTACAGCAAAATGTATAGCCAGCTTTTCCATGCATGTTAAACACAGAAAAATGTAGTTTCGCTCTATACGTAGTCAAGGTCTCTTATTCTGCTTCTCCATATAAGTAAAGTCTATACCTGCTTGATTGCTGTAAGACTTATATATGTGTAGTTTTCTTAACCATGATGGCTGTTTATGTTGTGTTTAAAATTGCATGGTAAAAATAAATTGTATTGGCTTAATGTTTTGTATTATTCGAAAGAGAATCTTTCCCTCTACAAGATGGCGTATTTGTGTTTTTTTTTTTTTTTTTTTTTTTTGTCTGAGCTAATTTTTCTTATTTTTCAGATCATTAAAATGGAGTGTGAAGTCGACAAAAATAAGCATTTTCGACACCCACCTTCTTTCTGCGTTTAATCAAGGCAACAATGCTGCACAAGCTGCCCGAGAGATTTGTGAAGCGTATGGAGAAGGTGCAATGCCTGAACGAACTGCAAGAAATTGGTTTGCCAAATTCAAAAATAGAAATTTCGATCTCGAAGACGCTGCTTGTTACGGACGAACAAATGAGTTTGTTGAAGAGCGTTTGGATCAACTTCTGCACGATGACGTGCGTCAAACCACTCGAGAATTAGCCGAACGAATAGGTTGTAGCCAAATGACTATAGTTTGAGATCTTGGGCCTATGGGAAAAGTCCAAAAACTCTGATATTATCGTCTAATTTATTGTTTTTTGTTTTGTTAAAATAAAAATAATTAAATTAAAAAAAGGCCATTACTTATGTTTCAACTCAATAAAAGGTGGTAGAAGATGATTCTCCACCACCAGGATTTCACGATTGGATTCCCTAATCCCCAGTCGCCTTTAAAAGGGGAAGTGTATAAGGTATTTCTCTCGCCTTGTTAGCATGACTTCGTGGTGTAGTAGTCAGCACACTCGGCGCGATTTCGAAAGGTCCGAGGTTCGAATCCCACCGAGGGCATTGCTCATTTTTCATCTCTCCTACTTTCAAAAAATACCAATCTCCTTAAGTTATGACAAAAAATATTTCATAAATTGAATGAATCTGTTAATTATTTAATAACCTGAATAATTTTTAATTAAGTTTTTAATTTACATTTTTTAATAATGTCTCTACTTGATAAAAATTTTCCAATTGATGATTCTTATGGATATTTGGAGCCTTGTTGAAATTTATGTAAAATATGCCTAGCGCTATATGCTACGTAACTGATCCAGAATCATTTGCGATTTTAATTTTTATGATTATTCTACATTTTTTTCTTTAAGATTTTTAATGGTAAACTCTACTTTGAGGTGATACAATGTACTATAAATTCTTCAGATTGCAGTTTACTAGTATTTTTTTAAACTTACTTTAATCTGAAGCAATGGCTCAACAATCAGATACATACCACGAACTTTAAATGCAGCTTGTTACCGGTGACCTACGGTTTCACAGTTAATGGGATATAAGTAGAGTATTTAGCGTAACGGCAGCACTCGCCAAAGAGCGCGGAGGTGAAAATAATTGCAATTGTAGTATAACGTAACGATTATTTATTACGCTTTCTTAATTTTGAAAACATGGATAAAACTTTCCTAACATGAAATCAACGGACCGTAAGCAGTTCCTGCTATCATAAAATAAATAGTTTCTGAAGTTACCTGTTATTTGTTCCTCCAAGACCCATATATGAGACTTCACTTGTAAATTTATATTCGACGCAAGGTTTTTGGCAGACCTCGTGCATTTCCGTTACTGAAATAGAAGAACAATTCATTCAGATTACAGTGTTTATTAAAATATAATAGAATTCAAAATTTCTGTGCCGCGGATAGTGGGAGTTAAGTATATATGTAATATTATTGTATTTAATAAATATAAACATAAAAATGTTTTGATTAGTTTTTGGAAAAAATGTTAAACTATCTTTCAAACTATCGCACTGATGGCTGCAGTCTGCTTGGAGCATTGGTAAGCTTGACACATAAATTTGCAGGTCTGCTAGGAAAAATGGGGAAACTTTATTAATTAAATAATTATTATTTATTATTGTACCTATTTTTCCCCCTCATTCCTGAAGACCATAAGCCCCGGTATGAGTAATTATTTCTTCATTATACTAAATAGTGTGTCCATAATTTAGGAAAAAACATAGAATTTTATTTCGCACTTTCGGAGAATTTTATATTAATACATTTTAACATGAGCACCATTAGTTGATTGGAAAATATCAAGTCTGTTCTCGATTTCTCTTCAGGCTTTATTAAACACTTGTGAAATCATAGTAACTATTTCTGTGGTAATTCCGTTTTCGAGTTCCTCGATGCTGCGAATCTCTGCAACATAAACTTGATTCTTCAAGTATCCCTAGAAAACGGAATCGAGTGGTGTGGCGTTCGAAGAGTAGAGTGGGCATGAAACTGGTCCACCTCTACCAATCCAAATTTCTGGGGATATAAAAGAAATCACTTACGTGTGTATTCCAACGGCAGAGGTACGATTTTCTGAGGAAATTTATCATCATACTGATACAGTGAAGAATGTCTACAGAAAATTTCTTACAGACGACTCGATCATTAGGTTTGACTTGTTGTCAAATCTGCAATTTATAGGCAGTCATTTTCAACTGTTCATGAGCAACTTCATGAACAATCAATCTAAAGATTATACCGAAAAAAATTATTTCCGGTTACTTCTAAAATTGGGTTTCAATTTAATTTTGCTATTCGGAGAAAAAATTACGGACACCCTGTATATAAATTTTTTGTAACATAAACGTCTCTTATCTCTAACGGAACATAACGGAATCTAATAAATAAATACTTTTTTATATTATAGAAGAATATTAGATATGTTATATAAAAAATATAATTGTATAGTTAAGGACTGAAAATTAAATATAATTAGGCAAGAAATAAATAGTTTTTATGGTTGCTTACTTGTACTGGAATGTAATGTGACAGCATACGGCCTGCAAACTGATGTCATTCCACTCGGTTTGGTCTCATCAGTATTGCTATTTACGGTCACATGAGATCTTTATTCAAATTAACTCTGTATTGCGTACAAACTGAAATATTTAAAAGTAATATACGTTCTTCTTTATTAATTTTTTTATTACTTTTAATATGTCTGGCTGTTGTAATTCGTATAATTTACAATATATCTAACTCATGATTTTATACACATCCTCCTGGTTGAGAGAACCTACATTCTTCCATAAAAATTAAATTTGTTGTAGAAGTTCGTGTTTACTTACGATTATTTTTAGTTAGAACACCCATAACGCAGCTGTATATGTCTTCCGGCTCACACAGCCTTCGCGAGGAATTACCTGGAAAAAAGAAAATAATGCAATTATTTATGAAAGTGGGAATTTCAAGAGCAATCTTTTGGCATATTCGTCTTACATGGTCTGTACAAGAATAAAATGCAAATTGGGAAAAAACATTTAAGTTCACCGGCTCTAAGGTCTGAAGCGGAAATTCTTCAAATTAAAGTTTATACACAGTTTATATCGGTGATTCATCATTCAATATAGGCTTAATTTAGGCAGATTAATTGATAGAATGCATTGTAATGCATTCTATCAATTAATCATTTAAATGAATTAATTATTGTTCCGTCTTTTTGGTAGATAGGTGGCGCTCTTGATGCGCGCCGATAAAAAATATATCACATGACGCTTGAACATGAAGAATGACGCATGTCATATATTTATTGTATTATATGATTATGTTTCATGGCCGCTATAGGCGGAAGTAATATAAGTAATATATGTTTATCGTTAATAAATGTTATTTCTATGTTCTGTGAACTCTTGAAATTTTGATTTGAAATTCTAATGCTCTCCCAAACTTGACTCCTGAAATGAAACGATCTTTGAATTTATGACTCATGAAGAGAGACACCATACATTTTTTTGGTGCCGAAACCCGGGAAAAGGGGAATTACCTTTTGAAAGGTAAGACTTTTGATTCATTTGTTCTTGGTATCGATCTTTGAAAACGAAACATAATGGATGATTTAGCAAAAGAGAAAGAGAAAACGTGCTATTGTACGTAGTAAAGTTACTACACTTCTAAATAAACTTGAGAAATTATTATCGGAAGCATTAAGTAAAGAACATGTAGAAGATCTAAATTCATCATATGAATTGTTAATTGAATACCATGAGAAACTTAAAACTCTTGACTCAAAGATCGATGCTCTCATAATTGATGAAAAAGAATATGATAACGAACTACTTGTATGTGAAAAAATGATGAAAAAATTAAACGTTTAAAGCTAAGATTGTTAGTAAAGTAAAGAAAACTAACAGTAATGAAGTTGTTGAAAGAAGTATAATTGCAACTAGCAATGGTATTAGTAGTACTCTGAATGGTAATAATGTTGTTACAAGTAGTGCTTCAGTAAAGTTACCTAAATTAAATATTGAAAAATTTGCTGGTGATCCAGTAAATGGCTCGAATTCTTAATTCGTATGATATGCTATTCATTCTAATCCAAGTTTATCTAAAATAGTAAGTTTACATATTTGAAAAGTTTATTATCTGGTTCAGCATATAATTGTGTTTCTGGTTATGCTTTATCTGAAGAAAAATTATGATTGCATTAAAAGTTTAGAAGAGAGGTTTGGTCGTAAAGATGTTATTATATAAATTCATGCAGATGTTGTTACAGTTAGAAACCAGTAAAGTTCTTCAAATGTTTTTGAGTTAAGAAAGCTCTAGATCAGTTACAAATCTGTGTTAGAAGTTTAAGTAGTTTAGATGTTACTAGCGGTTCATACGGACAGTTATTGAACCCAATAATTCTTAATTTGTTACCTGAAGATTTAGCTCTTAAATTCCATAGGAAAAGACCATCTAACCAAAACATTGAATTCATCAAAACAAAACACTGAATTGAATTGAAGTGAATTAATAGAGTTCATTAAAATCGAAACCTGAATGCCAAGAAGCAAGTATGTTGATTAATAAGCTCAAAAGGTAATACATACACAGGGGTTAGTCCTAAACAAGGATTCAAAAATTATAAACACAAATCACAAGCTTCTGCTTTTAACACATTCAGTAATTGTTTTGCATTTCTGCAAATCAAACGAACATACATCTGCTGGATGTTTGAAATTTTCCCACAAACAAAAACGAAACAAATTAAAACAGGGAAGGTTCGTTGTTACAGATGCTTTCTAAAATCATATTTTGTCATCGGTTTTGCAGGTCAAAAACACAACCAATGCTAGAACTGTAACGAGAAAAATTCATAATAAACTGTTCTGCCATTTGAAATCAAAAGAAATGGAAGATGTTAAATCCGTAGATACGCAAAATAAAACTTTAGTATCTACTTCCCACTGTAACACTCTAAAACCTGAAAATAGTGTGCTTTTACAGACATGTTCGTTATTGCTCAAGCAAAAATAAATCGAGAATCGTAAGATTATTAATTGATTCAGGTAGTGAACGAAACTTCATCACCCACAAGTTAGCGCGCGATTTAGAATTGCAAGTCATTAGAAAAGAATTTCTAACAATTTATTCGTTTGGGAATCAGCGCGGCAACTCGCAAGAATTTGATGTATATAGTCTAAAAATAAAAAATAAAAACGATGATCGCTGCCTTGTTGTAGAAGCTATAGGGATAGAATTAATATCATCAATAAATTCCAGGCGCCATCAACATGTCAAAACATTAAAGAATTTATGACTAAAAAGGGTTTGGAACTTTCGGATAAAAGTCCCGTTAATGAGAACATAAATATTCTGCTTGGGGCGGAGCATTTCTGGTATATACAAACAGGAAGTAATTCAAAAATGATTCATAAATGATGGTTTGTTTATAGTACCGACGATATTTGGATACACAGTGATGGGTAAAGTAAAAAATAATAATACTCGTATTAATGCTTTGTTTTTATCTACCCCTGAAGGAAACACATTTGACTTGCAGTCATTTTGGAAATTGGATTAGATAGGAATTGAAAATGAAAATAAAACGTTTTCGGAAACTGATTTGGAATACTATTAAGCATTTCAACGACAAGTTATGAAATTTAATAACGGACAAGATACGAAACAAAACTCTTTTGGAAGGACAATAAATCACAACTCGGCTGATAATTTTTTCATTGCTAAACAACAATTTCTAGGACTAAAGCATAAATAAAGGGAAATGATTTCCTATATAATGAATAAGATAATATAATTAGAGAACAAGTTGAAAGGGGGATTGTTGAACAATGTAAGTTTGTTGAAAATGAACCTAACTGTATTACATGCTCATAGGCCCGTTAACGTGAAGAAAAAGTAACAAAGAATAAGAATAGTTTATGATGCCTCTTCTAAGTCTAAAGAGCTAAATCGTTAAATGAATGTTTGATATCAGGCCCTAATTTAAATCCTAACTTGTTGGATATAATTTTTTAAAATTTCGCGTACATAAAGTTGCATTTTGTGCAGACATAGAGAAGGCTTTTCACCAAATTCAAATTGATAGTGAAGATAGAATTTTTTAAGGTTCTTGTGGTTTGATCATTCTTACGACGATAGTTACAATAGTTTAGGCTTTAAGGTTTTCTGAATGTGCGAGTGCCGTTTGGAATGACAACAAGTCTGTTTATTTTGTCCGCCACTATCAAACATCATATTAAAGGGTTATGAAAAGAATATAGCAAAGCTGTTGACATGTTAAATAAGTCCCTATATGTGATGACCTTATCCTTGGAGCAGGACTCCGTTTGAAGAAGTTTTCTCATTATCAACTGAGCAGTTAAAATTCTTCAAGACGCTGGTATGAACTTAAGAAAAATTTGAATCAAATTCGAATCTTTAAAAATCATGGCAAGATATTGGTTTAATTAATAAGGAAGATAATTTGGATAAGAAAACGTTAAAGGTGCTGGGAATAATTTGGGATTTGGATGAGGACACATTGAAATTAGATGTACAAGAACTTTTACAACCAGTTGACTGGAAACACGCTACGAAGCGAAAGGTATTACAGATTGTGGCAAAATTTTATGACCCAGTTGGCTTCGTTGCACCTTTTGTAATCAGAATAAAATTCTTATTACAAGAATTATGGGAATTCGGTATTGATTGGGACACAATTTTGCCCAGTTATTTGAGTGAAAAATTTAAAACTTGGTACTTTGAAATTGAAGTTATTCTCAACTTGTGTATGTATTCCTAGAAAATATATATTAAATGATAAATGTGCAAATTTTCGTTAAAATAAAGCTTTTTGTCTTTTGTGACGCCAACCTCAAGGGATATGGAACTGTTGCATATTTTCGTGATCCTGATTGTCACCTGTACGTCTTTTGTGCTTTCAAAGAGCCGTGTATCCTCACTTAAAAAATTACCCTTGCCTTCGTTTAGGGCTTATGGGAGCCATTATTGCCGCAAGAATAGTTAAATAATTAAGGAAATTGTTTAATATCCAAGAAGATAATGTATTTTGCTTTAGTGACTCTAAAATCGCTCTTCACTGGATCAATGATATCGCTAATAAATGGAAACCCTTTCTTGCTAATTGTGTACGTGAAATACAAGATCTTGTATCACCTTCGCAATGGAAATATTGTAAGGGAAATAAAAATCCGGCTGACACATAGTTTCACATAGATTAAGAGCTTCTGATCTAGTGGGAAATAAACTTTGGTTCAATGACCAGTGTGTTAAAAAGAGAAAAATGTACCTTCATCATCTTTTGATTCTTTGATCGAGCTTATGGTGGAAGAGGTACAGGTAGAACAGCGTCAAACTACTGTATGTTTGTTATTAGCCAAGAGGCTGAATTTGAATTGATATCCAGGTTTTCATCCTGGAAAAAAATTGAAACGCGTAACTGCATGGGTGTTTAAGATTCTGCCACAATATTAAACCTACATCTTTAAACTCAAGGGTTTTTTTTAACAGTTCAAGAATTGGATAAGGCAAGCAATTTGATTTTTAAAATATGCAAAATTCCGAATTAGAGAAGAAATTAGACTTTTGAAAGCAGGGAAGAAATAGAATCTCAGCAGTAAAATCCTGAAATTAAATCCTTTCCTTGATAGAGAAAAAATCCTTAGAGTCGGTGGTAGACTCTGTAACTCGAAGCTTTCAGAAAACACAAAGTATCCAATCATTCTTCAAAAGAGTCACCAGGTTGCTGAATTTATAGTCAAACACTTTCATACGAATTGAACCTTCACAAAGGAGCCACATTAACATTATCTGCTCTGCGACAGAAATATTAGATCGTTAACGGCCGAGAAATTGCAAGAAAAATAATTTGGAAATTTATAAAATGTTTTAAAAATCAAACAAGCACATCCAGTCAGATAACGGGCGACCTACCAGCTTCTCGCATATTGCCAGATAGAACATTCTCGAATACAGGACTGGATTTTGCATGACCCTTCCTAATTAAAGCTAGGAAGCTAGGAATGGAAGATGGGAAATGATATATAAATGTTATGTTTGCTTTTACATATGTTTCACCACAAAGGCCATTCACCTAGAAGTAGTTAGTGATCTAACAACTGAAGCATTCCTAGCATCTCTGAAAAGATTTGTGTCGCACAGAGGAAAACCCAAGAAAATCTTTTCAGATGGAGGAACCAACTTTGTTGGGGATGATCGAGAATTAAAAAGATACGTAGCTACACTTTCCTCTGAGGAAGCATTTCAAAGCTATCTGAGCGGTGAAAATATTCAATGGATCTTCAGTCCTCCTGCTGCCCCTCACACTGGAGGCCTTTGGGAGGCTGGAGTGAAACAAATGAAGATTCACTTAGAGCGGACTATTGTGACCCAGGTTCTAACATACGAAGAATTTCACACCTTAATTACACAAATAGAGGCGTGTTTGAATTCTAGGCCAATAAATTCCATCTCATCTGACCCTGAAGATTCTTAATCCTTTAACACTGGACATTTCCTAATTGGGACTACATTAACATCAATTCCTGAACCTTGATCTTACAAAATAATAAGCTAACCCCTGTTGAAAGATGGAAATGACACAGCAATTTTCCAGAGCTTTTGGAAACGTTGGTCTAGAGATATCTTTCACAATTACAAAGGCGTACCAAATGGTTGAGGGATAAACCAAATTTAGCCCTCAATGACTTAGTCTTGAAAAGGACGAAAATTTGCCTCCATTAAAATGGCGACTTGGACGATAATTGAACTATATCCTGTGCTGATGGAAACGTTCGTGTTGTGAAACTATAAACTTTATTGGCGAAAGAAGCGTCCTATACATAAACTTTCCCGCATACATTGAGTGAATAGACTCTAAAAAAACCAGTAACGTATATTCATATTTGTGTCTTTATTATTATTATTAATTCAATTATGTTTCAATTCAGAGAATGGACCACATTGTGAATTATGGTAATTTAGCAGTTTCATATGTTGTTTCTTCTAGAGTTGTAAGTATGTTTTTGTAAAATTTTGTGCTAAATTTAATGTTGTTATTCAATTTAAATTTGTCATATGCATTTTATTTTATACGATATACTGTTGAACTTTGGGAAAACTTGTTTAAATCAAAATTGAAGACTTTAATAATGTTGTAATGAACCCAATGTTCATCGGGCGGAGTATGTTCCGTCTTTGGTAGATAGGTGGGGAACTCTTGATGCGCGCCGATGAAAAATATATCACTTGGCCTTGAACATGAAGAATGACGCATGTCATATTTATTGTATTATATGATTATGTTTCATGGCCGCTATAGGCGGAAGTAATATAAGTTTATCGTTGATAAATGTTATTTCTATGTTCTGTGAACTCTTGAAATTTTGATTTGAAATTCTAATGCTCTCCCAACCTTGACTCCTGAAACGAAACGATCTTTGAATTTATGACTCATGAAGAGAGACACCATACAATTATTGATTATTATTTTTGATGAAAGTCAACATTAGTACAGCTGATGCTAATATTGATAGAATTAGAGAGTCAATCTTCATGTCTCACTCATTAACACTGCTGGTGTTTATAGCTATTAAATCACGTATAAATTTATTTTCTACCTCAAGAGAGAAATGAAGAGTAATCAATTCAAATAATTTGCAGTACTAGTACTAAATTTATTTTATTACATAAAACTGTGGGTAAACTGGATTTAGAAGTGTACGATTTCACACAACTTTTATTATCAAACTCCCAAAACCATAAATACTGTCATTCCCGGGTATAGAGTAGCAAAAACTCAGATGAAAGTTTAAAACAACTTTTTTTGACACGTCAGCCTGAAGGTTATACAAACTGAAAAAAAAATCTCTCAAACTTTTAAGAAATTCAAAAAAAAAAAAAAAAAAAAAAAAAAAAAAAAAAAAAAAGCTCAACCAAAATTAAAATATTAAATACAAAGTAATATACGCAATTAAGTAAGCTTATCTCAATCCTGAGGATTTTTACTAAACAATTAAGTGAAGCAGAAGCCGATTCAGTAATTCAGTCGCAGGAGGATTTAATAATTTCATACACAGTATACATTCTATCTGAAAAAAAGCTCTCTTTTCTTGTATATTGAACAACTGTAATTTTTGATTGAAACAGACTGAGAAATCGTTATTTCGTTTTTTATGTTAATCATACGAATTTTTGAACTGAAGTTTATATGTTCTATCAGAAAATACGAAATATCCATGCTAAACTGTGCATACTGTTGCGTTATTTTCCTTCCTTTACTTCACGTTCGTAAGTACGGTACGGGGTTCGTGCGGATTTGGAGTGAATAACGACGACAGCACTTGATGGAATATCGAAACACACTTTATTAGGCAATATTAATAAGGGCAGCTCCAAAGTCACTTTTTACAGTTGTCGAAAATCTACTATACACACGCTGGAACAACCAGCTGGTAAGAATTATAAACAGATAAGAATTCATTTCAGAAGGTTCTCCATCCGTCCGTGACATATCGCCAACTTTGTCGCTAAATGGGCGATTTCTCGCCAAATGTGGCAACCCTGCCTTACCTTGCCATTTTATGGCAACCCTAAACCTGCTTTGCGGTAAAGCTATCTCACCGCGCCTGTACATTTCGTAACAATACTTTCGTTTTCTTACTTAAATTTATCAGTTTTATATAATTTTATCTACATATAGAATCAGCAGACTAATCAAGGCCCTTAAATAGTAGTTTATATGTTTTGTGAAGAAACGTGTATAATTTTTCAATCGATTTAAAATTTTATTGTTTTTATTACTGTAACATCATAAATTTTCATAGATATTTTCATTTGTTCATTTGTCTGAAGATCTTTAGAATGCAAGTTAGTGGTATAAGTAAACTCTTAGTATGTTAGTGGCGACGCAGATAGAAGATAGAGGCATAAAAATGACTTGCATGATAGCCTTGGTAATGACTCTTAGTTATCTAATCTATCTAACTCTTAGTTAGCGATAGCTGCCTAGACGATATAGTGGTTAGGAGAGCCTACTGCAGTACCGTAGGGCCCGGTTTCGAATCCTGGAGAATGCATAGACGTAACTGTCCGTTTCTTCATAGGAAGTAACGGTGGCCGCCTATTAGGTGTCTCCAAATAACATGGCCACCCCTTTTGGCATTAGGCAATCGCCTGCCATTGGATTTAAAAAAGGACTAATTATCGAATAACGGAAAATAAATTTTTGCCTGGCTTTCTGGAAAAGTAGGTGCATTTACATTTTCACTCGCGTATTTCTGTATTTTGGTTTATTATTTATTCTGTTCACTGCAAATGCATGCTTATTTGTGCACTTTGTACTGCTGACACGTGGATGAAGGCATTATTTTTTTTCATTTCTGAACAAAATAAAGTTTCTTGCTATTTACGTGAGGTTTTAGGCAATTCCTAAGTAATAACAATAGAGTTACAATATGGCAGAAAATATCGAGTAAGCATTGCTAGGTAATCAGTACCCAGTACCAAACGGTTAAGTAAGCAATGTACTAAAAGAAAAGTAACCATTGCTCCTTGAAATGATGATCATAATGACTTCACAGACTTACCTCTATAGGTGATGGCCTCGCATTTGCAAAACTTTCGGTACATGTACATTAAATAATGTATATCGCAAGTTGCCAAGGTGTAATGCTCGCCGTATGACTCACTCATGCCGTCGAATTGAGGCATGCTGGGACAACTCTGGGACAGGCCGTGCCAAGCTGTATGTAAAGCTGTCCTCTGCGTCTGTCGATGAAAAGAGGGGTTGCTATGGCATTCTTTATCACTCAGTTGTTTTACAAAAAATAAACATCATTTTACTTAACCCACATTATTTATGGTGTTCTATTAAATGTCGTACACACAGAGATCTTTTGGTATTACAAATGTTTACAGCATCCTCTGCATTAAGACTAAATTGTGTACGCTATGTAAATGCAAAGACTAAGCTTTAACGTTAACAAGATATTTATCATTGACGTAGGGTGGCAAGAATTTTAATTTGTCTTACCAGTGAAACCCATGCATTGCTGAACAAACTCAAAATTATAAAACGAAGCGCATTGAAAAATGTATACCTTTTTTTATTTTTTAATAGCATCTCTAATAGCCACAATTTATAGTACAACTAATTTATATGAATTATGATATAATCGACCATTATTTTATCTATTACGATAACCGAACTATTATTTTAATGGATTTATAGCATATCTAATTTATATGAATTATGATATAACCGACCATTATGATAACCGAACTATTATTGTAATAGATAAAAGTTTCTAAAGTATTATATCAAGTATTTCGTTGGGCATAATTATTTTTTTCTCCCTAACTCCATACTACCGTTTGTTAACAGTTTCCCAGAAACATGTTACTCCGCAAAAAAGCGCTAAGATTTCATTAGAAAAAATAATGAATAGAGAGTCATTTACATAATTATTTTCAAACTCATATTTTTAATTTACTCTGATTTACCTAATTTTTTAATAAGTTACAAATTATTAAAATTTCACTAATTTCAAATTAATGCGAGTGAAGATCTGTAATTTACTTTCAAGTAATCATAATTTATTTACCATGTTGTAAGAGTCGTACTTCGATTAGCAGAAATTGAAAGGATGAGGAAAAAACTTAATTATCGAAAATATTACCATTAATTTAGAATTCTACATTACGATATTTACTTTCAGTTATCGAAGATTTTGACTTATCAAAATTATACAGCACTTAAAAATGGTGAAAATTAATTCTCCGTTAATGAATGACTTAATTATGATTGTTGGCAATTAATCATTGGCAAAATTAATTCTTTTTTGGAGCTGTTATAAATTTATTTAGCATCGAATAAGAGCAGAATTTTGAACTATCCTGTAGCTGTAAATGTTAAATAGAGAAAGATATAATTTACTTTTGGTTAATAGTAATTGACTGATAGCGAACGCAGAAGAAATTTACTGCATACTTAGATGGAATAAAATATTCTTGTATTCAAAACGTTCGCACAAAAGACATACCACGTGCATATAATACTCAGTATCTGAATGGAGCTGTCAGGGACCGTTAGCGTACTCCCTGCAGAAGAAATGTTTCAAGTGGCAGAGTGATTCGTGTTGTGGTGCACACGAACCTTAACTATCTTTTAACCTTTCGATGTGATGTCGCATTCTGAGCAAACGGCGTGTGAGATTAGATAGCTAAATTCACTGATCAGAAACTAATCCGCTAATTTTGAAATTTTTCATTTTCTGACCCATTCTGCTGGTCTCACTTATCGATATGACTATATAGTTTCGACGTTTGCAGACAAACTAGGCTATTCAGAACGATAAGACTAGTAGAGACAGATACCAAAGGAGGTATTTTCTTGTGCTTCTTGGAATGTCAAACGCGCTTAAGCAAATATATATGTTCGATTGATATTGCTTTGAAGATTATGATTTAATAAGATTTACATTTGAAACAAAACTGCCATACAAACATCTTCCACAAACTTTTTGAACACAGTAATATTCCTATGCTAAACCTTCCTTTAGATCATCGACTCTCAATGGTTAAATATTATTTATTGTTGTATTATGTTTTAATGAAAAGTATTGGAAAAACTATCATTTATAAAGAGCCATAACGAGAAATTAAAGCTTTTCTTAGTTTATTTTCAAGCAGCTTAACGTACACTGCTGGCCACCCAAATTGCAACACCGAGAAAGACAAGACATATCACAACAAAATTTATTTAGTAGATAACATGTTGACCAAGTACCAAATGATTAAATTTATAGACTTCTGTGAAGTGTGGTTTCTTCCGATCAGTAGCAGAGTAGACGTCCTTGTTGAGATCACCGCTGCCACACCTCGGCATTGATTCAAAGAGACTTAAATGTTTCTTGGGTAGAGCAGACCAAGCCAGCTTCCACACGTTGCCAAAGTTGATCTGGTGTGGCAGCTTGGGATGTAATCTGGGTCAATCGTTCAGCAACCATGGACCCTGTTTCCTATCGGCAAAAGATCCGGAGAGCGAGCCGGCCAGGGAAGCACTTCAATCAGGCGATTGACAAAGAATCCTTGGACAATGCGTGCCACGTGTGGTGGCGCATGATCCTGTTGAAATATGGCTGTGGGCAAGTCCTGAAGATAAGGAAAGACAACTGGCTCCAACACCTCGGAGATGTAGCACTGGCTGTTTAAAGTACCGGCAATACGTACTAGAGGAGTGCGAGAGTGATATCCAATACCGCCCCATACCATAATACCCGGTGCAGGAACAGTGTGACAGTGCATAACGCAGCTGTTCAGCATCCTCTCTCCACGGTGTCTCCAGCCTCGAATCCGACCATCGTGGTGTTGGACGAAGGCGTGACTCGTCAGTAAGACAATTTCATCCATCTGCGTCCTTATCTTCTTCATCGCACCATGGCGGCGAGAAGTCTGTGGTTCTGCGTCAGGGTAGACGAAGCAATGGACGTCTTGCGGACAGACCACCTACGTAACGGCATCGATGGTACGCGCAGACACTGGTATGCGTTACAGAGAAGTGATGTGATATGGTTCGCGAATGACTGAGCGATCCGTAACTGCATGCGCACAATGTCCTGTAAACACGTGAAGTGTGCATCAGGTGATGCGATCGAAACGTCGTTCATCGTAACTCCTGCTCCATGGTCACAATCCTCATTACGATGTTTGTTTCGTCCAACAGACTACCGATTTCCTGAAGATATCACCTTCGTCGGCACTACCTTCCTCTGTCGAACTAAATCTTGATCAAACAATGATCGCTGTTACTACCAGCATAATTAATCGTTTTTTATTTTGGAAAACAACAAGAAAACACAATGCCAAACTTGAATCGTCAAACCTCCAATCCTTAAATAACACTTGAGTGGAACCGTAGGTGCCGTGATGTGCTATGAGTTGAATTCTATTCATTTCATATCCACTCCGCAATGATGTTGTAAATTTCATGTTATTTGCATGCTTCCTTCAGGGTGTTGGATTTACGGTGGCCAGCAGTGTATAATCAATTCTCGGAGTGTTGCCATTGGCCCAGACCTAAGGTCTTTAAAACTTATTTATCAAATTTAATGAATCTATTATTGACGGACTGAAACACTTAAAACATATTCATCCATTTTTTGCTAATGAAAATATTTTATTTCATTTTAAATAATGTACGGTCTTGATATGTTTTTAAATATATTAAACCCATAATATATTGACAGATAATTTCAGCCATCATTTGCAGCACTATTCTAATTAATATAAGATAATTCTAAATTCATGCGTTACATTACTGGTGCAGAACTGTTTAATTTTATTTTATATTCTAAAAATATTTTATTAAGCATCTCTGGAAGATATTACATTGTAATGTGAAGTTTTCAAATTAGAGTTTTTGATACCTTGATAAGCTTGACTCTAATAGAGGTCAGGAAATTAGGAACTGCCATTTTTACGCCCAGGAACTGGGATCCTGTAGGATCCTCCCTTGGATCGCTGAACGTGACTAGATAGCCTTCATTCACACTCCGGGATCCTCGAAAGAACAAAACAGAGATTATATGTATAATAGAATTTTAAGATTTGAGATAATATGTGGTTTTAATTCCTGGAAAAAAAGTCACTATTTACATTACTTAAATATTAAGAGTATTTACAAGAACCTTTCTGTTCATTACTTAGAACATTCATAACTTATAAAATCCTAAAGATATCCTCTTTAAGACAGAATGTCCCGCAACACAACAAGAATATCTTGAGGCCATTAAAACAGAACGTGCATAACTTGATATTCTCCCGAATAAAATTCTACGTTCCATAGTGAAAGCTCCCTGGTATGTGAGAAATGCGGATATTCAGCACGACCTTAACGTAAAAGCCATGCACGAACAGATATTAATCTCGTCTCATAACTCAGGATACGCCTCCCATCGAAGTTTGTATGACTACGATCCTACAATTGAAAGCGCGGTAAAGAGACCCGCGCACAATACACCATAAAGTATCTTGGTAACTGTAAATATGTAAAAAGTTAATTTTTCTTCATATTTAATCAAGTATTTTGTATTCTTGACTGCAAACTTTGTTTAATTCCAAGATTTGAAGTGGAAATCGTGCTACGTTTTTCGTTGACACGCCCACGTGGGCATATCTGTGAATAAAGTTTTAACATGTGATGTGAATTTTGAGTGATTGCAAATTCTACAAAATTTTATGAACTTTGTGGTTTTGACCAAAGACATGTGTGGAATGCAAATTCTACTAATTTTATGAACTTTGTGTTTTGACCAAAGTCTGATGAACTGATGTTTCGCTGCATATTAAGGACACTACTGAGTAATTGAACGAACTTAAACGTTTTCCTATCCTGTCACCAAATGTTCAATTCAGAATGCTTCTTCTTAATAACTCCGAATATATCTCGCAGCGACTGAATGCGCCCATTCGTAAAGATTGCTTTTAACTTCACATCTATGGAAACTTTGCTCCCACACCAATAACCAAACCTTAGATTTTTGAATGCATTCTACGCCCTCTGGGTGATTAGATGTACCAATAGTACATCTTCTTTTTGGATACAAACGTGAAAGGCCTAAGGCATACTTGATGTATTGGTAACTCAACAACTCACAGTAGTTGGTACCAAATGCGAGTGAAGGTAAAGGTAAAGGTAAATGGCCAGTTTCTGGAATGTTCCCTTTCATATGGCGTAATATTTTTATTTTACGTATTAAACCGCAACTGTTTAACAAATTGAATAATTTCAAAGCAGTTCTTAGTTGTATGGAGGCACTGGAACAGCTACTGCACTAGCTGCATATGAGTCTGTGTGACTAGATTTCCTCGCCAAAAGAAAGGAACCATAATGAAAGACCCAATCCAACACCAGAGAGGAGCTTAACCAAGCATTAGAGTTATCGCTGTGGAGTATCAGCAGAAGAGGACTTCTAGCTAATCGACTCCTTCTAGTAATTTCGTAAAATGTGGTAGACATGATTGTAAAGAGGCGATTATATTGGGCAGGCAATTATATTTGGGGGATTGTATTTATAACTATGGTAATAAAGTTTTTTCAGAACTGTCAACATGTTGTCACTAATATTCATTCGACTCTAACTGAATGAGCATGTTGTTCTTTCATACTCTGGCAAAAACTGCTCTTTGTATGATTATAGATGATATAGCGGAGCAATTTGCGGTTATGAATAAGGACAGGATTTTAAAGTGAAACTTTTGCCAAAAAAAAAAAAAAAAAAAGGAGAAAATAGTTCTGGAAACTTAATCGAAAGGCTGCTTTTAAAGATCTTTGTTCAGTTCTAAAGTAGTTATTTTACATTATTTCTTCATTCATGAATAAGTATTAATTACGTACTATAAAAGTAACAAAAGTATTAATCTTTAGAAAGTAAACATGGCATTTACTCTGTAAGGATTTTGAGTTTTACTAACGTTTATTTTATTTTAAAACTTTACTATTCTCTCTTATTTTCCATTTCTGGTCAGAATAAATGCGAACAGATTTAGTTATGCAAATTGAACTTGCAAACTGTTAAGTATTAAAATTGTGGCTTTTAGCCAAGAGGGAGAGAGAGACTTCTTGCTACTTTACCTCGCGCGCGCTTCTCAGTCAGCCTTTGAGACTAGAACTTAGTTCTCTTTGATACTTGAAGACGTATTGTAGTTTCCCGTATTCCGCTCACTACATACAAAAAGCTTAAAAGGCCAATCTCCGCGTTACTAGTCTTTCCAAAGTATCTGGGTTTAGTTTTTATTTGATTAAGTAGTTTTAGTTCTTATTTTTACATTTCAGACCATAGGTACTGGTCTTTGTATCCCGAAGTACGGGAACGGCTGTAAACTGTGTCAAATAAAGGGTAATTAAACCCTTCCCGTTTGTGTTGTATCTTCTGCACTTGCACGAACATAGTTTAATTCCTTGTTCCTACTCAGGACTTCAGTTATATTTGCAAAGGCAATTAGAAGAAAAAAGTAGTCCTGATAGAGGGGCCCAAAGAAGAAGACATATGGCCAACGATCACTCAGAATTTGATGTACCTGCAGCATCGGCTAAGAATCCCGGACTGCCAGCCTAGAAGGATTCGGATACATCGTCCAAACCATGCCGGCAACAATGAAGCCGTTGGCAAGAAACCTTCTTAGAAAAATTAGATGCCCATTTTAGGCTGTATCCTGTCTACGAACTTCAGAAAGTCAACTTGGCTACCACCGCTTTGAAGGGTCAAGCGCTTAATTGGTTCAAGTGCATCGGAAAGACTCTTTTGGGTGAACCGGGAAGTCTCACCCAAACGTACGAAAATTTTAACGTTGCTTTAGTAAAGGCCTTTCCGGTAGTAAGGAATCGAGTCAAGTTGGAGGCGAAACTCTTTAGTATATACCAGCAAAGAATTGCAGAGAATTGCATTCTTTGCAGAGAGCCTGGCTTCTTACCATTACTAGAGCATTTCGTACGGTCTCGACGGAGATAGTATGTATCTTAGCAGGCGTTCTGCCTCTCTCGTTGCAATACAATATGAATACAATCTTTTTTACAGTATAAATAAAAGACGGTTCTTAATGATATTGGTGCTGATGCCTTTGATTGGATACTCCATTGGAAATTCATCCAGTCTTTATAGAATGGTAATTTGATAAAAATTTGATAAAATATGGGGAAATAGATATTTTACGACGGCTCAGGATTGATGGATGTATTGGCATGCCTTTGTTTATTTTCATGGTATTGAAATAGACTCAGGGAATGTAAACTTAATAATTTTAAACTCGGTTTATCATCTGAACTTCTGCTCTTAAAAATGCCTTAAATGGGTGGAAATTAAAGTATTTTTATTAATATTTTTTCAGATGCTTATCTGCACTGTCGCACTCTCCAGTCCTAATATAAGAATAAATTAGTAATGAAATCAAAAATTTATACTTTAACTTGAAGAATAAACACATTATTATTTCATTGGATTAAGGCTCATGCTGGAAATATGGCACGAGAGAGCGACGTTCTTGCTAAAGAGGCTGCCCTGGGGGAGAGACGAGGATAATTATCTACAACCCGTAGAAGGAGATCATTAACTGTTCTTAAAATATTGTTATTAAGGAATGGAAAGATAGCTGGGATCTTCAGAAGAATACTGGATTATTAATGAAATAAGATCAAAAATAATATAGAATACATCATCATATTTATTGTAATCAAATTGTAACCGGTCTGGCAGATTCCACAGCCCTTAAAAATTCAACCTCCAGGAGAACGAAAAATGTTTAGTATGTAATATTTATGGAGATGCACGCCACTTTGTTGAAGAACTGTATTTTAACGGGGGAGGTGAGAGTGAAAATCTAATATCAAGGATTCAGTGGACTTTTAAAAAATTATGAAAGTTTGAGACTTTTCAAGAGACTTTAGAATTATTAATAATAACAAAGAAATCATTGTATTTTAATATGAAGATAAGAATTAATGCAAGAAGTAAGAAAAGAATATAAAGTGAAGGTGCTACAAGTTTTGTATGTGTATATTGTTTTATGTGTGTGTTATTTCTTTTGAGTTTCTTTAACCAACTTAAGAACTTTTTTGGTTTTTTGGTTGTATGTGTGTTTCTCTGGTTTTCAAGATAATAGCTTGCAACCATTGACCAGAAGTTTGTTTAGTTTTATGTTTTCGTTATCTAACTCTTTTGTTACTCGGTTCTCGGTTTTGTTCTCGGAGCTTTATTTAGATTAGTTAATACTTCTTAAATGTTTAAATTTATTGAGCTTTATGTGGGATCCGGCTGGATCGTTGGATGTCCTCGTTTGTTGTTGGAATTGCCTTCTGCCCTTTTTTAACCTTAAGGCCGGCTTTGCCGGCTAGGTGGGTTTGGGTTTTTTTGGTTTTTCTTTCACCAGCAAAGAATTGAGGAGCTGTCAAATTTTATTTTAAGAAAAATACAAATATTTAAACTGCTGTATGGAAGCCGGCCAGATCCTGAAATAATTCAGGTGATTTTGCCGAGACTACTACCCCAGGTACATGACTTCATTGAGTTAAGGAACCCTTCGACACTGGATAAATTATTCGAGCTCGCAACCCAGTTTGAAAGCAGAAGAACGGCGGACAATGAAAGAAGACGACAGTAATGAGCAAAGAAGCCAATTTGGCGCGCCAAGGCCGCCGCAGGGGAGGCAAGAAACGATTTAAAACTTGGTATACTGAAATTCCTAAACTAAAGAATTTTGAAATTCCAAAACATTATTTCAACAATCTATCAAAAAATAATCTGTAGAATATTCAATTGCTGTGTTTTACAGATAGTTGCCTGCCTCTAGACCCACTAAGAGGGATAGACGTGAAGGGGGATCTAAAGAAATAGTAAAAGGGGGGCATGCTTTTGGATATTCCAATTATAAATACCTGTAAAACGAGAGAAAAATCTTGAAGTCGCAATTCCATAGCTTAAACAGGAAGCCTGAAATAGGTAATTAAAATAGGGCACAGTGTTTTGGAAATGGAAAGCGTTGTTTGTTTGGAATGCTTTGTTTATGTTTCAGGAATAAACGTTCTTACTTTCCAGTTAAAAAAAAACGAGGGAACTTTAAAGTAATGAAAAGTAAGTAAAATAATGTAAATACCTTCCGAAATTTGAGGAACGAAAAAATACATTATATCAAATGCGATTTGTTCTCCGCCTCTCGGCACTACACGGAAAGGGAGAGATGCCCGGTAGAGGAGATTTTAAGGGAAACTGGCCTCGTATCCATCTTACACATGGGAAAAACGAAGTAAACGCCTGTGATGTATGGGTCACGTCAACCATCAAGATGCATAGAGGGCGCTAACTTTCAATCTGAGAGGCGGCAAAAGTTTAGTTTCCAGGAGGGAGACCAACAGAGAGGTCATACATAAGGAGAAGGTTCATGCGAGCTGTAAATCAAAACGAAATTAACTTTAATTACTTAATCTTCGAATTGTTAGTAGTGTAGTTTATTGATATAGTGTGTAGTTTTGCGTGTGCAATAAATACTTAAAATACAAGAAGGTGGAATCATTTTCTGTATGAGGCAGGACAACAAAAAGGGGTGACATTATAACGCCCAAGCAACCAGCCCGTTTCCCAAGATTCGATCCCTGACTCGAACTGCCAATGTTCAGCGGGTTTTACCGCTCGGCCGTTGATGGGATACCAAGCGCAATGAGCAAGGAATTCCAACTACTATTTGGCATACATAGAAGTTCTTCATGGAACTACTACACAGAAGTTCTCTATGGAAAGTCTCGTTCTTGGGTTCATGTCTTTTTAAGTGAATTCCAGTCTATAACGCACACGCAGCGACCGTATTTTACAGGTCTCTTTCATTAAATTACCTAATTTCTCGGTGAATGTGATCATTGGTTTTGAGCAAAGTCTGAGAGAGTCTGCTCTTTCGTTGATTTCATTGTAACTAATCTCATACGAATTTTATGAATTCTTGTGTTGCAGTATTTTAGTGTTTTTATCAAAGTGCCCACCTGGGGTCGGAATCAGTCAGAAAGAGAACATGGGGTTTAATTTTTGAGGGAAACTTTACCTAGATGCAGAGTTGTTCTCAGGTCGATCGTGAGAGGAAAATCGACCTTGGTCTTCATCATCAGTTCGGACAGCTGCTTCTCTAGAACCATTTCATAGCACAAACCCAGCGGCGTCAGCGTACGCTCGAACACTTTGCAGCAGTTCACATTAAATACCAACGCAGTGCAATCGATAAACAATTCGTTGCACCTGAAACAACAAATAAATGAATATTAATTGAACGACATACCAGTACATGAATTTAAAAATTACTGTGGTTGTAAATTTGCGTAATACTTGTAATTGCGTTTTTTAAATGAAAAGAGATGCTATGAATTTATATTCCATCTGTTTTTATTTATTTTTTTATTTTATTGCATATAGCTTATGACATTAGAAACGTATTGTTGCGTGCGTACGGGTTCGTTTACGAAATGAATGCACAAGTCCGATGAAAAAATTAACAAAAATTTATTATTATCACAACAAATATGCTGAAGTTTCCTCAAATTATCGTGCAGTATTACAATATCTCACAGTAGTTATCTTTTAACTACTCAAACGTTCAATAGAACTTAACTCAAAACAGCTGAAGAAAGATAATCCGCGAATTCGCTACAATCAACAAGAGCAGTTTTCTAAACAACAACAAACTAAGTAACTACAACGAACTGAGAGATTTTCCTCCTTTTATAAGATTTTAAAATCGCGCGCGAGAATTTTCTAGTACTTTCTCGAAATCAAAAAGAGTTATTTATTAAATGTTAAATGCACGCGCTCTTGTATTTTCAATTTTCCGGCTTAGCTTTCTTTTAATATTCTTCACGCGCTGCACTGCGCGGGAAATAAAACGAATTTATAACTGAACTAACATTAGCTTTTTAAATACCAAATTCGTAACAGTATTTTAGGATACTGTTGTACTAAATCTACATAAACATCCCGCACATTTACTGGTGTATATTTGTTATTTTGTTGCATAGTGTTTTCGACGTTGGAAATGTCTTTAACAGGAATTTTCGGAATTGTTTTTGAATCGATATGTTATGTTGTACGATCATATTCAAGGCAACTTGGCAAATATTACTACCGCACGAAACATTGCATTTTCAATTTATTACTCGCGCAGTTTGATAGATTGATACGTTTTAAAGCATTCCATTTAACTTAAAAGCTGTAATTCATGTTTCAAATGCTAAGCTTTTATTCATCCAAACTAAGCTTTTAATTAAAGCAATAAACATGCTTCTTCTTAATTTTTTATTTTATATTATTTTTAATGCAATATTTATGTGGTGTAATTTATAATGCATTTCATTTAAGATATCTCCAACTGATAATACCAGTGAATATTTGCAGCGTTGATTGCAATTTATAAAAGATATATTTCATGATAAATACAGATTTTTCAAAATCTTCTCAAACTTAAACTCACTGTAAAACTGTAATGAAAAAGATATTTGAATGAAATGAATTTTGTGATAAACAGCAGGAACACTTCACGACGCCAGGATTCCGTGACTGCGAACAGTCACATGATTCCGAGATAGAGCTGAATCAACAAAAAAGAAGAACATGCTTCGGTGTGAAGAGTTAAAATCGTGAATTCTAATGCATGAAAAGTTGAACAATCTATACCAAAAATTATCTGGCCATGAAATGATATATAAGTTTCTGAACTCAGGAAGCGTGGCAGATTTATTTCGAAATAGCCGGCCAGGCAAAAGCGAAGACATGGTTGATTAAGTAAGGAACAGCATCGGGAAAATGTTGATACCGAGAAGATTCTTGAGTTCAATTGACTGCAATTCATGCTGTTAGGATAATTTGGAATTGCATTCATTCGACACCCTATATGCTGATAATTGTTTACTATCTTATATACATCATTGCAATGTTTTATTTCACTTGATCAACTGTCTTGTTTGACCTTGGCCAGTCACTTCGTGGCAAATCCATGAAAACTTGCCTGTCTCCAGAATTTTTTCGTGCCACTTCTTGTTGGTTTATTCATCCGCGGTCGTTTTTCATAAACTTTGCTGAACTTTCGGTGCATCAGGGTAGGATTTGAACTCTGTATACCACTACACGCACTCAGTCTTTTGAATCCAGTCATTAACAATTACGTAATCGCTTGCAGTCACGCGATATTATGAGCGTGCAGTATTGCTGTATAAAAACTTTTGAAGATTTTTTTTTTCTATTTTGTTGATAAAGCTTTGCTCATTGCAAAGGTATAATGAATTTAAATACGAGAAGGACTTTCGGGAAGTCCTGTATTACATAGTTGGCACAGAACCGTTAAATTTCTTTTTATTTCTTACTGAAATGTTTAGAAATTGAAAATTAAGTATTAATTCATATACCAAGACCAGTGTTTAATTTATATATTCTAAATTTTTTTTCGAACCTAGAGAAAAAGACTAATGGGGTTTAAATTACAAGCCCGATTAATAATAAACTTAACTCTTTCAAAAAAATAATTCAGTAAATACTACGTTTCTGCAACCGAGTGCTTAGTAAACAGCATTACAAATTTCTTTCATTCATTGCGCATACTGTATAACTACTACACAGAAATCTTCAATCAGATATGTTATATAATTTACTATACAAATCTATTCTTTAGTAATAAGGTAAAGAGAAAAATTACTAGATAGGAGATACATTACTTTTAAATTCCTTAGTTTAAAAACATTTTGCAAGAGTATATAACACTGATATGCATTGCCCTTTTGTTATATGAAAGATAAATCTACTGCAAGTTCTAATGCAAGGTTGGTAACGACTATAATTTTTCTCTCAGTTTGTCACGAAGTTAAATTAAAGACTTTCTATCGTAAGCCCGGCAACAGTCACAGAATTGGTGGTACGCAAAGGTGATTGTAGCAGATTGGACTGCAGATGTTTCTGATACTGGAAAGGAAAGAGAAATTTTCACTACTCACTGATAAGTATTCTCTTTTAAGAAAGTCTTAAGATTGAAGTCTTCCCTGGAATTCTTGTACTTCTCGTAGTTGGCTTTGCGATTACGAAGTTTCTCCTCAAAAATCGCTGCCTCTGTAGAAATATAAGGAAGAAGGGTACGGTTGCGAACTCTGGCAATGAGTGCTAAGTGACCGTTTTCTTTTGGTGTCAGACTAATGAAAGGAAACCCCAGAGCGAGACTGGCATACTCCATGATTTCTAGCATGCTCGAATTGAGATCTGGAAAACCAATAGATACGTTAGTAAAAATCAGTCCATTCTATAACAAGCTATGAAATAATATGGAGCTTAAATTCAACTGGAGCTCACAGGAACCGGTATTTGGTGTGCCTTAGTTTTTGAGCAAAATTTTATTTCTAGCTGGATCGCTCTAGAGTCCCAAATAAGATGAATTCCGGTATTTTACTGTACCACTGCATAGCAGTATTAACAAAAAAGATTGTTATTAATGAAAATTTCATTTAGTAGCTAATAAGATCAACATTGTTTCTAACTACTGAATGCAGGCGTTTCTTTCCCTCGGATAAGCAAAGTATACAGATAAAATTGAGACCTAGAGAAGAAATCTGCCATGCCGAAATACGATCTGTTCAGGAAGAAGAATATTTATAGCTTTACACAGCATTTCCTGAACTATCCTATTCATTCACTGAACCTTTCTGAGCATTCAGGATATACTGGCTCTTTCTACATGATAAAAGGTTCTGTAAGCCAAAATAAGAAAGCAGTTTTATATGATCACGAAGAATACTGGTCAAAATAGTATTTACTTTTCTTTAATCTTTTTTATTGTGTCTTGTTAGTATTACTCATGTTGTGCTACAACAGTAGTGCGACGCAGAAACACCTGTAAATCCAGAGGCGAAGTTTTGGTGCTCCGCCCACGTTTCCTTTCCCTGTTATCCGTACTGATTTAGCATTTCATTTATCATTTTATTCCATTTTTTTTCCACACAACATTATTTTAGTTTAATTCGTTATTTATAGGAGTTGGACAAAATATGTAAACACCGAAATAAAAACATCGCTGTGACTATAATACGATGTAAGAAAATTGTTGCCATTCTAAAAAGCTTGCGGTCCTCTTGGAACAGGTAAACAGAGGTCTTGTATGCTTTGCAAGGGAATCGTGTACCATTCTTCTTGTGAAACGCTAGCAAGTTCAATTAACAATGATAGCGGTGGATAGCGCTCATGCAGATTTATCTCCAAAATAGTTCACAAAAGCTCAATAATATTAATATCTGGTGACAGTGGTGGCCATGGTAGATGTGAAAGTTCAACCTCAGGCTTAGAAAACCAGTCCTAGACAAGGTGAGCTGCGCGAACAGGAGCTCTGTTATCTTAGAATACATAATCACCATTGGGAAACAAAATTTGTACGAGATGGATGTGATCAGCCAAAATGGTCATATAATCCTTGGCAGTAATGTGACCCTTTCACAGTAACGATGGATCCCATGGAATACCATGATGTGGCTGCTCAAGCCATGATCGAACCCCTACCATGTTTCACTCTCAGCAGCAAACAGTCTCACGCTTGGGACGGCGTTCACCATACGTAAACTCGCTCAGAAATCAGAATCAGAGTGATGCAAGACTCACCTGACCGAATGAGTCTTCAATTGCTCTATAGTCCAGGTTTTATGACTTTCGCACCACTTTCTCTTCTTACAGGCATTTTGATCTCTGATGAGTGGCTTTTGTATTGCCAGCTCGCCCAAAAATACCCTGCTTGTGGAGCTCCATTCCTATTTTTTTGGTGCTGACAGGGTTTGCGAGTGTAACATTCGGTTCAGGAGCCCCTTTTGACTATAGTCCTCTATTTTTCATCACAATCCTCTTCAATACTAGGTCATGATTACTCAACTGCATATTTTCGACTGCGCTGTGATTTAGCGGATGCGGTTTTTTCGGTTTTTCTGTATGAGTTAAAAATCTTAGATACTGTGCCTCTTGAAACACCAAATACTTTAGCTATCTTGCTTATGGAAGCACCCACTATACAAGCCCCAGCAGTTTGCCCACGTTCGACAGGATGCACTTACACCTGCACAGAACACTGTCTCGATAACGAATTACACTTGCAACATATTTTGAGGATGTTGTATATGTGATCATTTTAGTGAACAAAGACATCAGCGCCACCAATAACTTTCGCAAGAATAAACATTTCAGTTCCATATTTTTGTCCGACCTTATATATATTTAACGTTAACAAAAGTTGTTATCACCAGAGGTGCTACTAATTTCGATACTCACATTTTAGTCCCTATTATTTTTCAAATTAAAGGATGTTGCTGTCAAATGTTAACCCCATGTATTATTTATAAATATATAATCTAGCAAATATAAAAAAATGTGTGGCAAAACTTAACACTCTATCGAGAATTCTAAAGTTATGCTGACTTTTAAATAGCTTGTGATTTTGCTTTTGAATTATATGTGGTTTAAGCGCGAAGAAACTAACGTTTATTAAATAAAGTTAAAAAGACAAAAAGTTAGTAATAAAAAGATTACAAAAAAGTCGTGTGAGAGCTGTGTTCAGTTTTCTAAGTAAAATGAAAAAATGTCATCTTACTAAGAAAACTGAATCTCTTTATGATGAGATGAGAAAAGACTGAAGAAAAGTAACAGCAACACTTAACATTATATCCAGATTTCAATCATATGCTGTTTTTTAAAATTTTGTTGATTTTTCCGTTGAATTTTATGTGGCATAAGTGTGAAGAAATGGATGCTTAATAATAACGTTAAAAAGACAAAAAACTTGTGTAGGTCCTTTTGCTAGGAAAACTGAACATTGATATGATGAACAATGAAAAGACTGAAAATATAGAAAAATATATAGCTACACTTAACATTCTACCGGAAATTCTAAAAGTATACTGCTTTAAAAACTTTACTTATTTTACTGTGTTTTTTATATGGAGCAAGTAATATTTTATAGTGAAGTTTAAAACATAAAAAAGAGTTGTGTTAATAGCAGAAAGTCCAAGGGCAGATTGGTAAATGCGAATCGAGCGATAACATAAAATATTCAATTAACCCTCTGGTAGTCTTTATATTTTATTTAATTCCAATTATTAATTTTTTATTGTTCTTTTTACTGTTTATTTAATTATTTTGGACATTTCTGACAGATTTCTGTAGAGCTCCGAAGCTTCAAACTTTAGAAATTAAGTACTGAATATATGGCTTTAGATACATCTTTTATTAATTTCTATAACGTTGAAAATGTTTATACAAGTCATTAGTTATGTACACTGCGAAAACAAAACGGACAGTTCTACATCTCCCATTCTACTGGGCCAATTGACGAAATTCAAACTGCGTTTTTCATGTCTCGAAAGCGCGACTTGGGATATATATTAGATTTATATATGGCATCATTCTAATACAGGTATTTTGACACAAAATCGGACTCTTTCTAAAATGACATGCCAATTTTTGTCCATATTTCGGTTCTACAACTCAAATTATGCCTAAATATTAAGATTCTTAAAATTTGGAGCCAAATATACGAAGAACTTCAAAAATTTATCTTGCGTATTTCTTACAGTTTTCGCCAAGAATAATTTACTTGGCGAACTTCTTAATTTATAGGAAACTATTTTCCTCTTCTTTTTCTCATTGTACACGAACGGAGAAAAAATCGTCTTACATACTTTCAAATAATTTTAACAAAGTGCTTAAACCACATTTGGCGTTATTATCACTAAAAAAAAAAAAAAAAAAAAAAAAAAAAAAAAAAAGATGCCAGATTTCAGAACGCTCCAATATGTAAATTCAATTATATCTTATTTTGGAAAATTTTGAATAAAAAACTCAAATTTTTTGCAGGTATGCCTAGAAATACATCTACTTTGAGATGATGTTAAAACTTTTATAGGTTATAATACAAAATATTTTGGGAAAAATTTATAAAAAATATTTGTAATATAAATTTTAGAAATAAATCAAAAAAATGTGCGAATCATATTTGGATAAAGATTAAATTTTCGAATTCTGGAAGAATGAATCAAGTAAGTTTAATAAAAAAAGAGATATTAATAAATACATATCAAATTCAATTAACACTGAAGAGATAAAATTTTGAGAGTTAATTTTTTAAAAACCGCTCGAGGAGTTTTACAAAATCTGGCAGTTTGGCATAATTTGAGCCCTAGAATCGAAATATGGAAAAAATTGGTATGCCATTTCAGAAAAAGTCCGATTTTGCGTCAAAATACTTATATTAGAACAACGCTATATATACAGTGGTGGCCAAAATTGTGGACACTTTTGGAAATTTTTATGTTTTTGAACTTTGTATGCTTATACAAAAACGTTACGTTTCACAAAATGCAAATTTGTATATATCATTTTAAAGTGAATTTATTACTGAATTCAATACAAAACACAAAATTCAATTATTTGCAATACGAAAAAAAGTTAAACGATAATAGTTATCGATGTACATTAGATAGTGATGATTGCAATGAGTTATCAGTACTTAGTAGGGTACCCTTTATTTTTGATTACAGCTTCACATCGACGTTTCATTGAGCTGACAAGAGTTTTAAGCTCTTCTTTCGTTATTACATGATCCTCAATTAGTTCCCTTTTATTTGATGGGCGACTCATTGTTTTCAAGCGGGCCACAAATTTTCCATAGGATTGAGGTCAGGACTGTTTCCTGGCCATGACAACAATTTAATGCTCTTTGTACGAAACCACTCTTTCGATATTTTGGCCGTGTTGCAAGGAGCAGAATCCTGCTGAAAAATAAACGAAGCATTGTTGGGAAAGACATCTCTGATGGAAAGTAAACGTTTTGGTTCTAGCATAGTGTCAATGTATTTTCTGGCATTCAGTGTCCATCGATGACATGAAGGCGACCAATACCATCTGCTGACATGCATGACCAAATCATAACACTAACTGGGTTCTTCACAGTTGCTTGAATGCATTCAGGATGTAGCTCTTCTCCTATTCTCTACGTCTTCTACATATTTCTCCCATCACTACGACGAATAACGATATCTTAGTTTCATCACTCCCATAACTTGTGACCACATCATCTGTCCAATTAATGTGTTCCTCTGCCCACTGTAGTCTTTTTTTTTTTTTCTTTTTTTTCGTTGCTGAAAATTAAGATAAGGCTTTTTTCGTGGAATTCTACCTCTCAGTCCAATATCTGTTAATCTTCTTCTGATTGTTCTTGAACTGACAGAAACACCAGATTCATTCAGATCATTTCTGATGGCCGCTGATGACATTTTTCCATCTTGGAGACATAGTCTTTTTATTCTTCTGTCATCAATAGATGTGGTGCACCTTTTTGGGCCTTTTCCTTCTTTGTTTTTTTATTGAATTTGTCTTCTGATGTTCTAAACAAAACTTTCGGACTCCAGATGTAGTCACTGAACCACCCACCTGTCTTGCGATTTCAGCTAGGAAAGACCACTTTCTCGTAACACAATAATATTACATCTCTTGTCTAGGTGTCCAATCTACTCTTTATTTGATGTCATTGCTTCTTGACTAAATATTAAAATTTTTTTACAAAAATTCCTACTTGTAATTGCAGTGTATAGAAACAGGTCCTTCTTCTACAGAACAAAGCAAAATAATGAATTGTTTCAAGTGGAACATGATGTCAGCTTCTACTGGCAGTTACTAACATTTGATTGGTTCTCAGAACAAGAATAGTGATTGGCCAGGAAATTTAGACATTACAAACCACTTCATAACTGTGTTTTTTATTATATAAAGTACATATAACTTTTCTGTATTGCAAATAATTGAATTTTGTGTTTTGTATAAGGTAATAAATTCCCTTTAAAATGATATATACAAGTTTGCATTTTGCGAAACGTAACATTTTTCTATAAGCATACAAAGTTCAAAAACATAAAAATTTCCAAAAGTGTCCACAATTTTGGCCACCACTGTAAATCTAATATATATCCCTAATCGCGCTTTCGAGACACAAAAAACGCAAGTTGAATTTCGTCAATCGGTCCAGTAGAACGGGAAATATAGAACTCTCTCCTTTCCCCCCCCCGCAGTGTACATAACTATATATTAATTAAGTGTACTTTAAATTACATAAATCAGACAGATTGTTAAAATAAAATGAAATCGCAGTTAGATTTTTAAAATGAATTTCAAGTGAAGGCTGCTAGCGTAAGGCACTGCAATGTTTTATGCTGTGGCAACACTTGTGTTGTAAATGCATATAAATGCATGCTGAGCAATTTAAAGTAAAATTGTACAAAGTTTCTAAAAACGTTTAGTGCGAATTCATTAAGCGTTCGCTGATATAAAAGTATACCAACCGATCTAGTTAATGCCAACCAAAATTTTGAATTTGAGTAGCCTTTTGACTCACCATAAGGAAGGTCTTTCAACTCAGAATATTGAATGTTACCAGAAAAAAATTCAGATTACATAAATGAACATTAAGTACAAAATCATAAAAATTCAATGCATGAAAGCATTTCAGTTATTACTACATTGATAGGCTTCAACGAACTAACTATTCTCTCTTAATTTACTTTCATTTCTGCATTTGTGAAAGTCTACAGCCTTTTTACTTTTAGATGAAATAATGGCTTTTCACTCAGCCTGAAATCTTTAATTTATCTTTCAGGCGACCTACAACGTAATCATTCAGTTTCGCATAAAATCTTATTTTTCAAATTAAAATTACGTTTTGCTTAAAAAACTTGAGGACTTTTAAGCAACATATATTATACACGAAGGTTGCTATTTACATTTCTGGCCTTGGCATCAGTAAGTATTGCTAGGCAACCGCTGACGATTCCGATAGAAAATTTGATTTTTAACCACAAGTTCTTCATGGAAATGGAACTGACTCGTGAATATTTTCGTGCGAACTTTCCACGCGGATTATCAAGAGGGCTTCGATGAACTTAATTCTTTACACAGCAATAAAGTACCATCCTAGAGCACTGTAAAAAACTGGTATAACGAATTCAATCGTGCTTGACGTTCGCTTCAGGACAAATTCCGTAAAGGTCTTCCAAAATCGGTTGTTGTGCGAGAAAATACCGATGCTGTGCGTGAATTGATAAAGCAGATCGTCATGTGACATACTGTAAGATTGAGGCATCTTTGGGCATTAGTATGACAAGCATCAATAAGATATTACATGAGCATTTGGACGTGAAAAAGGTTTGTTTCCGTTGGATACCGCATAATCTGACAAACGCCCAAAAGAAGGCTCGTGTTGATTGTTGCAAGGAAATGTTAGAAAAATACGTTCAAGGTGCGTATAATATATACACAGGTGACGAATCATAGATCCATGCATATGAAATCGAAACAAAACAGCAGTCGACTGTATGGGTCTTCCAAGGCGAACCAAATCCAACAAAAGTTATTAACGGAAGAAGCACATAGAAGCAAATGGTTGCCTGTTTCTTCGGCATTACCGGGCACGAGGCGACAATGGCGTGAGAGGAACGTAAAACGGTTAATTCCGAATGGTACACGACCATTTGTTTGCCAGAAGTCATCAGAGAAATTCGAAAAAAGCACAAGAGGAATCATTCTTCATCATGAGAATGCGAGCTCTCACACGTCGGCTCAAACAAAGGAATTTTTGACAGGCCAAAACATCGAATGTATGGCTCATTCGCCGTGCAGCCCTGATTTGGCACCCAATGACCTACTTTTTTTATTCCCGCACATCAAAATTAAATTACGTGGTCAGCGATTTGCGACACGCAAAGAAGCGGTTGATGCATTCAAAACGCGTGTTTTAGAGTTACCTCAATCCGAGTGAAAAACGGTCTTCGAAAATTTGTTCAAACGCAAGCAAAAGTGTATTGATCTTCATGGAGAATATTTTGAAAAACAATAAAACCAGTTTCAATTATAAATATTTGTTTTCTCATTATTAGGCGACAAACATAAATCGCAATCCTCGTATATACGAGGGTAAGTTGAAAAATAAGTTTCCCCTGTCGACTGTGGTCAGAGTTGTGCATGAAAGTGAAAAAATAGAATGAGACATTAAAGATATGACATACCTTTATTTTTCCACATAGGTACCAAGTACATTGAGACATTTGTCATATCGCTTGATAAGCTTCAAAAAGCCCTCCAGGAAAAATCAGGGCTTTGCATATGGAAGAAGCGTTGAACGGCTTGCTTCACTTCAGTATTGCTTCCAAAGCGCCTTCCCCCGAGATTTTTCTTCAAAGCCGGAAACAGATGGAAGTCGCTTGGTGCGAGATCAGGACTGTATGGCGGATGGTGTAGGCGCTCCCAACCAAGAGTTGCAATATGGTTTTGCGTTGCCGTCGCCGAATGTGGTCTGGCATTGTCATCCAACAGCAGAACGCCAGATGTGAGAAGGCCAGGCCGCTTTTTCCGAATCACCTCTTTCAATTTCGACAGGGTGTCACAGTAGCGCGTAGCATTGATGGTTCCAACCTCCAAAAAGTCCAGCAACAAAACTCCTTGGGTGTCCCAGAAAACTGTGAGGAGCACTTTATGACAAATGTCTCAATGTACTTGGTACCTATGTGGAAAAATAAAGGTATGTCATATCTTTAATGTCTCATTCTATCTTTTGACTTTCATACACAACTCTGACCACAGTCGACAGGGGAAACTTATTTTTTAACTTACCTACGTATATCTTTTTATATCTTTGCTTAATTATTTTTTAAAATCCTCATCCGAAATTTGTGTGTGTGTGTGTGTTTCGTTTCTTAATGCCTTTATTACACGATACCACGCTGTTTACCATCCGTGTAACTTGGCAAGTGTTGCCGTTGCAAGAGACATAAGATTCCGGGGCTTTATTTTAATTAATCGGTAATCTCGCTATTTTGCCTACACATTCATAATCTCCCATCAAGATGCAAATTAGTTCAAGTACACAAACGCAGAGTTTTTGATTTCGAGAAAAGAGCTTTTGGCAGTTTTCACTTTCAAGTTACTGTGAGACAACTTCCTGTCACTGATTTGAATTTCTTAAATCGGCTTTGCTAGCTGTAATTGCTTCCTGAAAGGTTGAAGTTTGAACCAAAGTTTAGCAAACGCGTGTTACTTTGTATTTAATATTTTAATTTGAATAAAATAACTGCTAAACATTTTTCTCGCAACTAGCGGGTTTTACTTTATGTTATTAAATAGGTTGTGCCATCAGTCCGACGAGTAAATAAGATTCATTTTAAAAATTCATTTGTGTCGCTCTACTTAGATGTTACCATGGGGCAGTTATCTAAATTGCAGGAGTGGGCACTAAAAGTAGCGTAGAACCATGCAATATATTTAATTTATGTACCTTGCAGCTTGGAAAATAGCCAGTGTTCAGAGTGTTAACATTCATCGTGAAGTAGTTTTTAAACTATAAACTATTTAACAAATTGAGCAATTTAATAGAAATAAATGCACTTGTTAAATATTAGTTATTTTTTAATAATCTTTCTAATTAAAACTACAGTGTTTGTAATATATCCAAGTGATAATTATGCACATCTGCAGAACTACAGTCACTAATAAGAAATATTTCTAGTGCCATACATTACGTATCTCAGGAACAATTGTTTGAATATCGCTTAGCGGCAAGTCTCTCCCCCTCTTTTTACTTCTCCATAAACATTGCTAAGTTAAAACGCAAAAAGGAGACTGTTGTTATTCATTGAGTGACAAAGCTAAAGCTTGTCCTTAAACAGCAGAGCTTCACTAACCTTTTCTATAGGGAGGACTGGGGCATATAGAGATGAGTGGATAGTGAGGAAAGTAATAGGGATCGTCTTTGAAGTCGATGACCGAGTCTTTATTGATGCTGTTGATGTAGACGGATTCCTTGCCGAAGCACTCCTGAACCAGGAAGATGATACTGGAAACCACGCTCAACAGACACAACACAAAAATCACTCTGCAAAAAGAAACACTCTATCAACAGTGTTCACATTAAGAATAGTTATCACAATTGGCACATAAGCAGAATTTCGTTTACAAAACAACGAGACTTCGTTATGCTGCCAAATATGAAATGGTGAAATATCATTTAAGCGTTTTTCATTTAAACAACTTTTATGCTTGTACTTAATTTCAAGTCATTCATACTCTTAATGCATTTCTATTCCTCTTGAAAGAATGTAAAATATTTCATTTGTACCATGTTATAAATTGATAGTTTGCGCCGTTAGGTGGCGCTCCGAATGTTAATGTTATTATGTTATTACTCCGAATATTGAACTAACTGATTGAAGAATTGTTTTCAGTGTTAACGGAGGAAGAATGCGATATGTTAGAATTAAATAAAGAAATAGAAGAAGATATATCTGATGCGAATCAATTAGAAAAAAGACATAACGTCTACTGAAAATTATAAAGAAGAGATTTCAATTTGCAAAACACGAGTAAATAGATATTTAAAACAGATACATGAAAATAAAGTGCAGGATAATTCTAGGCATTTTAACTCGACAACATCGGACTTGAATTAAACTTCCACGTTTAGTAATAGAAAAATTCGATGGCGAAATACCAAAATTGCCAAATTTCTGGTCGCAATTTAAAACTACTATTCATGATAACGAATCTCTAAATGATGTAGAAAAGTTTAGTTATTTAAAAACATACTGAACAGATGATGCCGAAACTTCCATAGGAGGTCTATCATTGACTTCAGAAAATTCTAATAAGGCAATCGAGATATTAAAATCGCGCTTTGTTAGAGAAGAATTACAGATAGACATTATGTCTAGTTTACTTAATCTGACGCCATGTAAATACTCGAAAGACATAACGTCATTAAGGAAGAATTTACGACCACGTTAACATCGAAATACAAGCATTAGCGAGCCTTGGCATTGAGCCAAATTCTTATGGAGCACTTCTTTTCCCCATTTTAATTACAGCATTACCAACTGGTATAGCTTTAGAATTTAACAGACTGCATGATGCCGAAGAAAATAAAATAACGGAGTTCTTTCCCCCCGGCTCTATAATGTTTATATCAATGATTTCCCGCACCCATTCAACACGAAAATACTCAAATACGCTGACGACACTGTAGTATTGACTGAATCCAGAAGTCACCAGCTCGCTCTAAGTAATTTTACAAATGCATCTTAATATGATCAATCACTGGTGCAAGACTTGGAAAATTAAGCTCAACGCCTCTAAATGTTGTATTGTGCTCTATCGGAGATACAAAACAAGATCAAGAGTCAATACTGATATCTACTTAGATAGAACTCTAATCCCTGTAGCTAATTCCTATAAATATTTACGTGTTTACATAGATAAGTCTCTCAACTTCAAAGATCATATTTCTTATATCTTAAACAAAGCAAATGCAGCCTACATGGCAATTTATCCTATTATCGGCAAAAAATCAAAGCTCAGTCTAAAAGAAAATGCTTTACATATCTCTAATTCGACCGATCATGCTATATGCAGTGCCGGCCTGGGCAATCGCCAATCAAACTGAGCGCAAAAAACTGGATATACTTCAAAATAAAATTCTACGTAGCATTGTGAATGCACCTTGGTACGTGAGAAACTCTATAATTCATAGCCACCTGGATATTCCATCTGTGCATAACTTTATACTCATGACAGCTCACAACTTCTTCGAGAAGATGAAGCATAGTCAGTATAACGCAATTAAACAAATGTTGGATTATGATCCAACCATTGAATACACTGTCAAACGCTCAAGGACAATCACAATTCGTCATGGTGGTAACATGTAAATTTTAATTTTAAAATTTACTTGAACTCTGAAATTGGCCTCTATCCTATTATTTGTGTTGCATATTATACTTATGTTAATCAAGAAACTTTTTTTATTCAAGATTTTTATGTTACTATTTCATTTTTAATTATTGCGCATCGGTGGTTTTAAGGTTCAGTGCGGTAATCCAAGTTTGTCGAAAGTGTGGTGGTTCAGCAAAGCATATCACATCTCATATCAATAAATCAAACTCAATAATCACCAATCAATAAAATATAAATTGATTTAATTAAATATAATAATATCTCAATCTCAAACTGCGTCACACCTTCCATCGAATCTCAGCACACACTCTCAATGGCGCTCTCAGCGCCCTCTAGCGTTAGGCGGGTCTTACCATTCTCCCCGCTTAAACTCCCGGACTTTACATTTCAATTTCCAGATATTCAAATAAATTTAAAGTCACTAAAATTACACTAAACTAAATATTAAATTGGTAAACTATTAAATATAAAATAAAAGTTTTTCAAGTTCATTCAGTCTTTAAATGGTAGAGGAATAATTTTGTTGATTGCTCGCCGAAGAACACCTGTAGAGGTTTTAACTTCAACTACTCTGACCAGACCCATCAGCACCAGGATACACTTGTTGGATGCGACCCAAGGCAATGCAAGGATTGGGGTTGGAGTCCTTCAGCAGTACTAGTTGACCAATCTGCATGTTTGGCTGCGAACTGCTCCATTTGGCACGATTCTGTAGTTGATTTAGATACTCGGAATGCCACCTCTTCCAAAATGTAGCTTGGAGTCTCTGAACTAGTTCCCACCTGGAATGAAAAGAAAGAGAATCCGAAGCAGTATGTTGTTCAGGAAAGGACAACATAGCATTTCCTGTTAAAAAATGTCCCGGAGTTAAAGGCTGTAAGTCATTCGGATCGGAAGAAAGTGGTGATAATGGACGGGAATTCAGAACTGCTTCTAACTGAGTAACTAAAGAAGTTAACTCTTCAAAATTCATGATAGCTGATTTTGCTAGCCTTAACAAAATCCGTTTCACTGATTTTATGTTTGCTTCCCACAGTCCGCCAAAGTGAGGAGAAGCTGGTGAGATAAATTTCCATTGGATCCCTTCTTCTGCACTAAATCCTTGAATTGGGTTAGATTTGCAAATATCGTTATATGCGTTAAGAATATTTCTCGCATCTTTGAAATTCGTGGCGTTATCGCTCCAGATAACGGCTGGTTTGGATCTTCTGGCAATAAATCGTCGTAAACAGGCTAGAAAAGCTTCTGTTGTTAACTCAGAAACGACTTCTAAATGCACTGCTTTAGTGCAAAAACAGATAAATAATGCAATATAAGACTTTAAAGTCACCTTTGACCTTTTCAAATTAGGTTTTGTGATTATAGATCCTGCGAAATCTAATCCGACCTTCTCGAAATGTCTAGAAGGCACGACTCTGTCCCTAGATAGACTACCCATCATCTGGCTTACCGTTTGATTCTTCGTTCTAAAGCAAGTGATGCACTTATTTATTACTCTTCTAACTCGATCTTGCCAGACTGTATCCAATATGACTGTCTTATTAAAGATAATGTAGTCTGTACGCCAGAATGTAAGGATTTTCTATGATAATATTCAATAACTAAATTAGTGAAATGATGAGCCTTTGGGAAGAGTATCTGATGTTTCTGAAATTCAGAAAACTCAGAATACTCCAGTCTTCCTCCTACTCTCAGTACCTCATTTTTGTCAAGAAATACGTTCAGAGATGATATTTTACTATTTTTGGAATAGATTGTCCGTTTTTCAAGCACTTTATTTCCCTTTGAAATTCAATTGACTGTACGAGTTTTACTAAAACTTCAGTAGCATGTCTTAACTCAGAAGCACATATGAAGTCTGTTCTCAACTCTGGGTTTGCTTTACAGTTATTTATAAATCTCAAACATAAAGCAGTTATCCTAATTAATTTAGTGAATGAGGAGTATCTTGTGATCAAATCGTTTTCATTGGCTATTTCAACAGTTGCATTTACAAC